GACATTGCTCAAGATTTGAGATGGTCTTAAGCCTGCGGCACGCGATGCTTGTTTTCCTGCTGGATACCTAGCTAGAGTAGAATCTTACCATCGTATTGGCTGCGGTACTGACAGTGTTAGCATCGTAGCCAATAAAGTGGCAAGAATTTATTCTAGCTAGCAATCCAGCAAGAAAACAAGCATCGTATGCTGCCGGCTTTAAGCTAGCGCATGAACCAATCAGAGAACCGTATTAGCATCTTAAGATGTTGCTTGAGATTAAGACCGGACTATGGATTCCGGCCTTAAGCCCATGGCACATACAAAAACGTAAGGCCGTAAGACATAATCAGTAAGCGAATTGGCCAATCACGATAGAGACCGTAAGGCCAGTAGCGAATCCAATCTTACGATTTCTTTACTGCTTACGTATTACGGCCTTACGTTTTTGTATGTGCCATGGGCTTTAATCTCAAACAACGTCTTAGGGTGCCGTCACATGTACACGGAATCGGAACGACGAAACGGATTTCTTACTAGAAAATTTGAGATCACTACAATTCCGTTCCGTAAGAAGTTTTTCTACCCGTCCCATGTAGCCGGAACGGAATGAAAATGGACGGAATGTCGCCTCGGTCGCAAGTTAATTTGCCTAATTTAATCGATATTTCGTTATTTTAATGCGACTAAAGCAGTAATATGCATAATTTGTGCAATTATCTTATTTATAACATTACTTTGAATACTTAAAAATACTGAATTATAAGAGTGAGATATATTATGTTACCAAAATTCCATTGCGTTCCGGCTACATGGGACGGGTAGAGAAACTTCTTACGGAACGGAATGGTATGTTCACCTCAGATGGTTGAATGTGAAATTAAAACAAATATTCAGAAACCTTTTTTTTGGAGATTACAACGATGGACGAAGAAGTAGTGTTAACTGTAATGTTAAAATTATTGCGAAATGCAAGAAATATGCCAAGTTGGCGTGCTATTCTGATATTTAAGAGAGTACGAAAATTATATTTCGCTTATAATATTTTATTACAAAATAAAAAATATACAAGAAAACGAAAATTTTGGGTACGGCCAATGTTTACACAAAGAATGAGACATCTTCAAGGCGCAAGTGACAATTTAGTCGTTGAAATGCAAACGACCGATCGTGAGAAGTTCTTCAATTACTTTAGAATGACTCCGGAATTATTTGAAGAACTGCTGTCATTAGTTGGACCACTTATTGAGAAGCAAGAATTATGCCGAGTTCCAATTTCATCTCGTACAAGATTGCAACTGGTTTTACGCTGGTTGGCATCTGGTGATAGTATGGCATCTCTTTCATATGCATTTCGTATTGGAGCAAATACAGCTTCTAAAATCATAATCGATGTAACATTCCGTTGATTCCGTTGTACCGTTCCGGCCATAGTTCCGATGGTTCCGATACAGCAGAGAAACTTCTTACGGAACAAAATGCTAGTGAACTTATTTCTAGTAAGAAATCCGTTCCGTCGTTCCGATTCCGTGTACATGTGATGGCACCCTTAGGGCCCTGGCACACAACAAACTTAAGGCAGTAAGACGTAAGCAGTAAGGAAATCAACATGTTGGATTCGCTACTGCTTATGTTACGGCCTTACGGACTCTACTGTGATTGGTCAATTCGCTTACTACTTACGTTTTATTGCTTAAGTTTTTTTGTGTGCTATGGCCCTTAAGATACGGCTAATACGGCTCTCTGATTGGTTCATGTACTAGCTTAAGACCATCACGAATCTTGAATAACGTCTAGTGCTGGATTCACACTGCATCCGATTTTCGTCGTACGACACTCTGCATCCAATCAGAAAACAGGATTCCGATAATACGAAGCAAAATTCATCGGAATCCTGTTTTCTGATTGGTTGCAGAGCG